TAGGGCAAGGATATTATTTAACTTATTGTTAAGCCAGGAAACCTGTAAAATGTTACAGCTGAGTCAAAAGAGAACCCAAATAATTTATGAATAGATGCAAAGCTGGTCAATATCCATTGGACGGTAATCATTTGCAACCCCCCCACCCCACCCCCAGGGAAAATGGGTTTCCATGTCTGTGGATGGGAATCATCTGCTTTGCCATCAGTTTTCTCCAACTTGCAGAGCTGCCAAGCAGTGAGATGGCAATGGAAGGCACGGCCCCGTAGGACCCGGTGGCGATGGTGCACTGCAGTCCACACAGGTGGTCTTTCTCCCACTCAGAGTCACTGAGGAGGAGGCCTTGATGGGGCTTCAGGTTGGTCAGGGACAGGCCCAGAAGCAGGGGCTGAGTGCTCTTAGGGACACATGCCTCCCCTTTCCACGTTGGCCTCAGGTTTCCCAACCCTTCTATGGGGAGAGCCCCTGAACCCCTGGTGACCACAGTATCCATGGAAATCACTCCTGGCTCCTCACTTTGCATTCTGTTTAATTTTTATTGTGAATTGAGCTGTAACACACTTAGAGGGAGCGCTGAATGCATGCTTGCGGCACAAGCGCAGCTTCCTTGGGGCTTTGGGATCCGAAGGCATTGCCTCATTCTTTCACCCCTACCTTCCCTATCCTCACATGAACATACTGAAATGTTCTAAAGGTTCCTTCTCTTGGCCATACCCACTCTCCTGTCCGTGACCCCACCTCACCTGTTCTATCCTCATCTTTATGCCAAGAATGTCCATGCTGCGGAGGTGAGGCTACTAATTTTGGAGAATATCCTTCTGAACCCAGCTTATGATGTTTACCTGATGGTGGGGACTTCCATTTGCTACAAGGTGCAGAAGATCAGGCAAGGAAAGATTACAGGTGAGTCACCGACTCAGGTAAAACATACATAATATAACATTTACCATGTTAACAGTTCAGTGGCATTAAGTACACTCACATTGTTCAGTAACCATCACCACCATCCATCCACAGACCTCTTCATCTTGTAAAGCTGAAACTCTGTCCCCATCCAACACTCTCCATCCCCTTCCCCAATCCACTGCTTTCTGTCTCTATGAATTTACTTCTCTAAGTACCTGAAATAAGTGGAATCAACAGTACTTGTTGTTTTGTGACAGGCTCATTTCATGTAGCATAGGTCCTCTAGGTTCACCCATGGTGTAGCACGTGTCAGAATGTCCTTCCTTTTTAAGGCTGAATAATATTCCATTGTATAGACAGACCACATTTTGTTTACCCAGTCATCCTTCGGTGGATGCCTGGGTTGTTTCCATCTCTTAGCTATTGTGAATAATGCTGCTGTGAACATGGATGTGCAGATATCAAGTTGAGACCCTTCTTCCAATTCTTTTGGGTATTTATCTGTGAGCTTCATATTGGACTGGGTTCTACCCTTGGTTTGCCATCGATTGCTGAGCAGCCTATGCAAGCCATCCCCCACTTTTGAGATTCATTTTCTCCATCAGAGCCCTTGAGGCCTTTCTGCCTGAGCTGTGAGGGCAAATTGAACTGATGGACATAGATTTGTTCTGGAGTTTCAAAGAGCTGTGTACATGTGATACATTTCATATAGTGAGTGTTCTTAATGCAGCACCAATCCTACTAAGAATTATTATTATTATTGTCATTTTGTTTAGCATTTACACGTTTCATGGTTAGAGCACAGGGTGTCAAGAGTCTCTGGAACAAGAGTGTTGCACTCGGGGACCATCATTTGAGGGCCTGGACCTGTGACTGGGCAGGCGCCTCCCCCAGGTTGGGGGCTGCATGCCTGTGATGCAGGGCGCTGTGTAAGAAGCTGCATGCTTCAGCTTTCAACCAGCTTGGTTGAAAAGACAGCACCTTAGTTGAGAGGAGTATTACTGTGTGGCACCCTTAGAAGGCCACAGAAGCCGAGAACAGGCCACTCCTGCCTCGGGGTCTGGCTCTCTCTGACAAGCGGTGCACCCTGAGAACATCCCCACAGGAGGATTGGTGAGGGAGAAGAGGGCTCTTATACTTATAGCAGGTGTCTATGTTGCTTGCAGGGTGATGTTTCTACTCAGTCCTGTTGGCATTTGGATTGCTTGCAGACATGATGGGCACAGTAACCAAATTATTAGACAGAACAAAATGTGGGAAGGACATGCTGGCTGATGGAATTGGTATCTTGAGAAAGACTTGAGTGATTGGAATGGTGGAATTTATTTTATTTATTTATTTTTTAAATTAAATCTTTATTGTTCAGATTATTACAGTTGTTCCTCTTTTTTCCTCCCATAGCTCCCCTCCACCCGGTTCCCACCTCCCCTCCACCCTCATCCCCCCCACCACTGTCCTCATCCATAGGTGCACGATTTTTGTCCAGTCTCTTCCCACATCTCCCACACCCCTTTACCTCCCAAGAATAGTCAGTCCACTCCCTTTCTATGCACCTGATTCTATTATAATCACCAGTTAATTCTGTTCATCAGATTATTTATTCACTTGATTTTTATTTTTTATTTTATTTATTTAATTTTTAATTAAATCATTATTGATCATTTTATTAGATTTGTTC